GCCTTCCTCAGAAGTCGAGTTCAAAGACAAAGGAAGCTCAATAACAACAAAGACAAAGATATATGCGCTGCAATGCTGATTCAACACGATTGATCACCAAGGGGGAGATTGTTGGGAATATTTTATGGTGTTCAATCTAGTTAGTTATCTTTGTATTTGTGTAGTTATCAATTAATCGTGTAATACGGGCCACAAATGTGTATCAGCCCGTGGGCTTCCTTGTAACCCGTAAGTTAGCCAACTTCTCCTATAAAAGGAGGCTAACTTACGGGAACCCTAACGATCGATAGAGGCTTAGAGTTTAGAGGCGTAAAGATAGAGAGTAGGTTTGCCATTGCTCTCCTTCTCCAGGGAGAGCAGCGGCCGGTTTTCATACGGTATACCAGATTCGCGTATAATATCTTCATATCTTTCTATCTGTTTCTTCTATAACTGCTATATTTGTTGTTTGTTAAGTATTCTGGGATTATCAGTGTTGCTTTTGTTGCATTGTGTTGCTTGTGTTGCATTGTGTTGCCTTTTGTTGCATTGTGTTGCTTTTGTTGCATTGTGTTGCTTTTTTGTTGATTTATCAAGTTATGTTTAAGTAACGGATTGGGATTTTGAAACATATGCTAGCTACATTTATTGGTGCAAGGTACTACACAAAGCAACTCTAACAATAGTTGTAATGTTTCAGGATGTGATATGCTACTTTGACTAAGATGGAAGGCCTTGATACAGTTCAAGTGAAGCATTTTTGGAAGCATTTGTAGTTGCACTTGAAGCTTAAAATGTTATGACATCCCTATATGATGCTAATTAGCTATCAATCAGGCATTACAAGATTAGTTTCCACTCAGTTACTCATTTGACACGCCGCAACATTGCCTTAATTAGTTACTTATTGTTGATTTACACCTTGAATAATTAATCACTCATTATACACACACACATCATCAATGCTCTCTCGAGGTAGTAGCACATGTTTAAGTACAATATCATTGAAACAATTATTGTTGCATTTTGTTGTTTATTGTCGTTTTTTATTTTTTCTAGTTATTTATGTTTCTATTAATTTTTGCTATTTTCGTGAAATAAAAAATTTCACGAAAATAGCAACAACAATAACAAACATGGAGAAACAAAAGGAAACAAAAATTTCAAAGTTATCAACAACAATACACACAATCCGGGAAACTGTGTAACAAAAAGCACCATTCAAAATTCAAATAATAATATAAATAATAATGATAATGATAATTAAACGCTATGTAAAAAGTTTTGAATTACAAAATTCAACATTTTCAATTTTTTATTTTTTACATATATTCATTATTTTTACTTTTTAGTTTCTTTAATTTTTAGATTTTATAACAATTTAAGAATTTTTCTCTATTTTATTTTAATATACAGAATCTGGTTTCAATTTTTTTCAATATTAACTACACATATATATTTTTTTATCCGTGACTCCGTGTATATTACGTTTTTTAAATGCTCTAACATATTATGTTTATAAGTTTTAGTTTTTAGATTTTCGAAAAATTACCATTTACCCATGTTAATAGTTTTAAAATATGATATCATTACATGTTTACTTTCAATTTTAATATTATTTGATAGTTATAATTTTTATATAAAGTATATAAGATATTTAAAACAAATGAATGAATGGTTACAAATGACTTGTTTTTTATTTTTTGAGATTTTTATTTTTGATTTATGTACTTTTAACTTTTAGATACGTTTTACATTTTTTTATATGTTTTTTTGATAATTTATGTCACAAGGTTTAATTTTGATTTTTTATGTACTTTTTGAATTTTTTGTTTTTAACTTTGTTTTTTTTTAAAATAATGATTTTAGGTTTTTCGAATTTTGTTATTTGTCTAATTATTCCACCTTTTTTTGACCTTTTAATTAAATTTTACATACTCCTTATTAGTTTTTCTTTTTCAAAAAGTTGAGTAATTTCTAAAACTAAGGTTTAACTTTTTGAATATATAATACTCCGTAACCTCACTTCTACCATGTAATGCTTCATCTACTTTGCATGTACCAGATGACTAGCATTTCGTTTCTTATTAGTCGAGATAACAATGCATGTCTATATGTGAAAGAGAAGATTTAGCTGGCCTGTTTTTGAAAGAAAAAATTGAAAGTGAAAAACCTGATATTATTTTAAGTTTTATGCCTATACGCGAAAATTACCCAAACTACTAGTATAAATTGGGCCTAAAGTTTTTGACAAGTTTTTTGGCCCATTTAACAGCCTATGCCCTTGTTCCCATCTCAGGGCTCCCCATGTAATTAAAGTGATACCAAATTGTTCACGCTGTTGATATTTGTAATTTCTTGACATAGTTAGTCAAAATAAGAATTCTAATTGTTTCTTTCTGGTGACTGAAAAACCCAGACTTTCTATTATTTTCTTGTTGGTGAATCGTGAAATCGATTTCTATGTTTTTTCATATCGCAGAGTAGTTTTAGTACTTTTTAGTCTTGATTATTGATTATTGTCTCATCCCATTATAGTCTTAGATTATCCGAATTACTTTTGTACCGATCATTTTTACTACGAAGTATTAATAACTAAGTGTTTTTATTTAAATAAAAAGTAAAAATATAGCATTTTATGGCCTTCTAGTCCAAACGCCAGGAAAAATTGGCAATGATGATCCCGTTTAACCGATCTTCTCATAATAATCTTACATTTACGTCATAACTGAATAATTTCTTTGATTAGATCATGATCGGTTGATGTCTAATACGCTAATGGTTTTTGACTTTTCATTGAAAATCTTATATAAGTAATCTCATCTTTCACAACTTTGTTCAAAATAGTCTCACGTTTAATTTTTTTCCTTTTTTCATCTTCTTATTATTTCATTTATTTGATTTGTTTATGTTTTTCTTTCCCCTTTGTCAATGTTTTTTTCTTTCTTCTTCTTCTTCCCGATTTTTACTTTTCCCTTTGTATGTATAACTATTTGGCTAATTCTCTTTTAAAGACTATTTTCCCACATTATTCATTATGGTTTTATTTGTTTGTTTGTTTATTTATTTATTCAAATATTCTTTTATTTAAATTATCATTTTTCTTCTTTTTTGTCTTTTCACCCCACCCTTTTCCCCTTATTTTTGACATGTTAGTGAATAGTGACAATTTCTAAATCTACATTTCTTCTTATTTTCCCTCTTTTTAGGTAGGGGAGATTCCCCGAAATAAGACTAAATAGGATTTGAATTCCAAAATAGGATTTCTATGTTTTTGTTCCCGATAAGGGGTCATTAATGTCATTATTGAAAAATAATGTCATGATTCACAAACACTGCTATTAATTATAATAAATAGTGGCATGCCGAGTTCATAATACTACAACCATTTGACAGTCGTAACTAAAAAATGGTAGTAAATACTATTGAGATATTGTTTAGTCTTGTTTAGGATAATTTCTCTTTTAGATATTGTTTCTCACATCTACCCCCCTTGTGTAAAGAGTATTATGTAATTTTTTCTTTCTTACATTTCCTCGATTGTTATATATACTTTTTAAATTTTATTTTTCTCTAATCCTTTTATCACAAAGATTTTTCCCATAATTGATGAAATTTGTGAGTAGGCTTAGCCGCTTAGGGAGAAAAAAACGATGATGCAAAAAGTAGAAAATTGATGGTGGAATTAAGCTAACAAGAAGAAAGAAAAGGAGAAATAAGAAAAAACAAACTCAAAAAGTAACAAGAAGAAAAAGAGGAAAAGTGAAATAAAAAGAAAATGTAATAAAAAGTAATGTGTGAAAAGGATTTTTTAGTAAAAAGAGAATGATTAAAAAAGGAAATACGTAAAAATAGAAATGAAATGAAAATACGGGAAGAAAAAAGCGACAAAAAATCTGCCCGAAAAGGATTTTTTTTAAAAAACTCTCATAATATAGTTAGAAATAGAGTAAAATATGGAAAAGAAATTAAAATAAAAGGATGAAAAAGGGAATAAAAAAGTGTCTAGGGATAAAAATAAAGAAAAGAAAAAAGATTAGGGTGAAAAAAAAAGAAAATATGAAACATGAGACTGTTTTGACTAGAATTGTGAAAGCTGATATACACTACAAAAAACACTATAATAGTCACGGATTTTGTTAGGGATCACAGTTTGAAAAATCCTTGACAAATGATTTTGTTAGTGATTTTGTCAACGAATTCATCCCCGACTCCAGCTCCCTGACAAAACTATTGTTAGGGATTCCAGATCCTTGACAAACGTTGTCAGCGATACAAATCCCTGACCAAATTCAAAATATTTCCGCAGTGTAATTTCCATGGTTAGGATAATTCCCTAATAAATTCAGAATTCGGATAATATTTAATTTACATAGTTAGAGATAATTCTCCGACAAAATTTGAAAATTGTAGTGACAGACAACTTGTTTGCGAGGGACAGACAAGTATACAAAAAAGGTGTACACATTTTGTGTACACCTAGCAAAAATGATCTACTTTATTGTAGGGAGTACTAAACATCAAAATATATTTATTTATTGAATACATTGTCACTATTTAATCTATCCATGCATGTGTCATGTTTTGGCTAAAGGGTCAAATAGGTACATGAACTATACGGAGTACAATGATTTTAATTATTATATTTATGTGAAATTTATAAATTCTATACTTTTATGAAAAATATACGGAGTACTTAACTTGGAATATTTTCATATAATTCTCATATTTTATATAATTTCATGCTATTAATATCATTTGTCAAATTTGGTTGTTATTAATAAAGAAAAGTCAATATAACCAAATTTAATGTTATAGAAGGAGTATAATATATTATTAAGTTGATGAACGATGATGTTTTAGTTTTTTATTGTAATTTTTAGATTATTATAGTATCTGTTTTGTCACATTCTAACTTTTATTAACTAGAAGTTGTGCATTATATACCCATCTAGCTCAAACTACACGATTAAAGGAAAATGTTTGTCAATATTAAATTAAATGTGCAAGTTGTTATATTCAGCCCACTACTCTTTTTGGACAATTGGAAGCATGTTGTTTCGGAAACAAGTCCAACACTAATCTTGTTGGACCTCTCAATCCCAACAACCCAAGCCCAGCTTCCATTCTTTCCTCAATCTTAACATAAAAATATTGATCACCGACCCCCGCCTATCTTTCAATCGGCTCTGTCCCTCGTCTTCGGCCATCTATCAGTCCAACCATGTATCGGCCGTTTTTTTGCAACTCCACTGAACATATCGCATCTCCAATTTTCATATCGGTATTTTCTTAGTTATATACATACGCTTATATGTATTTATTTATTTAGATTTATATTTATTTATACATTTCAATCCTTGTTCGTAATTGTGTGTTGTGCTCAAATTTTCCTGATTTTGTTAATTTCATGATTACTCAAATATGATTATGATAACCTACGGTTGATGTTTGGTCAATTGAGTTGTTTAATATGTTTTGCATGTCAATAATATATCCATATTCGTGTATATATGGGGCGAAAATATTTGGGGTATTTAAAATACTTTTTGGAAGAGCAAAAATTATTTTTCGCATATATATACACTAAAAAAAAATTTGTTGGGGGGCGGTAGCCCCCCTATGTCTCTACTACGGTCCGCCCTTGTGTCCTATGCATTTTTATATTATCTCTAATAATATGTATATATAAGTTTTACAAACACGCATGCCGTCAGATTATGTATGCTGTTAAAAATATCTACTCCGTATTTTATAACTTTACTTGCATTACTTTTTATGTGCAAGTACTTATTCATAACTAATTGAGTCATATTGCTTGCTGACATATATATGCTGCAGCCTGCTGTCGTGTAGTGTGAGTATCGTGTGGAATGGTGGAAGAAGAAGAAGAGAATTTTTGTTGAGAATTCTCCAACTCCCTGATTCTAACTATTGACAAACTTTTTCTGATATTTACTATTGAAAATAAACCCTTTCTTAATCAGATAATTTTTTTTGTTAAAGTAAACATCACTTTTGTAAATTTACTTGCAGCATGGTTTATGTGCAATTACATTATTTGGAATGTTTTTTCTTTCAATTGAAATAGCTTCAAATGTAATGAGTTTACATACACTCATGAACATTTACTCTAAAAGTTATTATGGGAATTCGGTAAATGCCTGTGTAGAAACTGCATCAATTGAATTCTTCTTGATTCTCATGAAAAGGAGTCCACAAATACACCCATGGAATACTCGCTGACGTTTGGATTTTTTACCACTTTATTTGTTTATACATAAACACAAGTGGTGTTAGTATATAGATGCACCATATCATTCACATGGAATATTTTCTTTCTTCATAAAATAGGGTAGGTAATTGGAATCGTGAGAACAATGGAAGATGCAGTCTCATTGCTTGTCTCCTCTCCGTCTACGTGGATCTCGAATAGAAGGTCTATGGAGGAGTCTAATCAGGATGATATTATTGTGGACATACAGAATCTATTTAATGGAGGTGGCTGTAATAGTGTTTCTGGGTCGCCTTTTGTTAATAGGACAATACCCGCGGTAGGCATCAATGATTACCTAATAATGATTGGTTACGCAAATCATATCATTGCACACAAGTTCTCAATAATCTGCATCATTGTTTAATTTGATGTCATTTTGTAGGGAACATTTGGCTGTGTAAAAACAATTCCGCTTCCAGATCTCATGGAAGAAAAGAATATTGCAAAATATGAAAGGATTGTTGCTCTCAGCAAAATGTCTCTTTCTTTTTACGAGAAAAATCATGTATGCTCCATATCATTGCTTTCTTTCCTCTCGTAAACTTACATTTTAGAAAAGATAGCAATGACCAAATCTTTTCACTACCGCTGATCATATCCTTCTACTCCATTGTAGCCAGGAGAGTCATATGAGTTTGACAGTCTGAAGGATGTGAATCATGCGCCCATTCATGGCCTAACATATTTCATCACCTTTTTGGCAAAAAAGTTGGGGGCAGATGGTAGTCCTTCAAAAATGTTTAAAGCCCGAGTAAACTTGCTTATGAGCAGCGTCGAAGTGCTGAAATGTGAGCTGATAAATTATCTTGGGTATTGCTCTTGATTCTGTTAATTATATTCTATTTATGGAGTATTTATACATGTTTTAATGAAGAAATGTGAGCGGTTAAACTGGCTTGGGTATTGCTTTGGGCCTTTGGCTTCTATTAATGAACGTCATACTGTATGGATATTGAATTATGTTTCAATAGTTGCTGATGATAAAGCTGTTACTGGTGTGTAGCCTGTGCATATAAGTTGATGGATCGACACTTGTAGTTTGATAAACCTTTTATTTTCTCTTCCTGCAATGCATGCTACTTTTGTTTGTTAGTTGTTCATATCCAACCCAAATAACTAAAACTTTAAACTTCAACTAGTATATTACCCATGCGATGCATGGGAAATATTATATCCCGTTTTTAAGAATAGATTTTTGAATAATATGAATCATATATTTTTATGTGTGATAATAATTTGGCATATTATATTTGTTGTAGTTTAATAATATGAAGTATGAATTATCAGATGAATACCTTTTTAAAAAGTTCGACTCAGACCTGAATTTAAGTAGGATCGGCACTGTTCGGAACTCTAAAAAAATAATTAATAAAATTAACAAGTTAATGGCTTTCCGCCGCTGTTAAAGACATAAATAGCACTACTTGGCACTACTGACAATATTAATTAACGGTAAACCCCGATTAATCTACCGTCAGACTCTTTTAGTGATTTTAAAGTGATGTTCAGAATTGTGCATAAAAGTAAAACTAAATATTCATCAAGTATGTTACACAATATTTAAATCTTGATTCTTAATTATAATGGCACTTATATTTAGAATACCATTGATGGTTTTTCCTTTTAAAAAAATATGGTTTGTATAATTGTATTTGCCATCTCCTTGAAGAATTGTGATGAATTAATGTAGGGGTTTTTCCCTAAATATTACTACTAAAAATGTCATGGATAAAAATGTAATTTAGTAACTATTGTTGACTACAATTGTGTTCAAAGTTAACATCACAATAACTTAAATTTAGGAACTATGATGTAATTTTTGAAAACAATTATAGTCACTAATAGTTACTAAGTAATATTTTTGTTCATTTTTAAAGATTAATATTTATGATTTTTTCCATAAATGTATGTATCTCTATTTATTATTTTTATCACTGATATTTGTATCACAATACCGGCACATACAAATATAACTCACATTGTTTTTTGAGTTTCGATGATGGAAAACTCAAAACTTTACAATTTTTTTTTAAGAATTGATAGCAACATTTGTCATTAATCATTTGTGAGTAGCAATGTTCTCTAACTTCATAAGATATCATACGTCAAACTTGACCATCATTTACAAAGAAAAGTTAATATTATCGACCTTTTTGAGACGAAGAGAATATTTAGTTGCAATATTTTTAGCCATCTAATAAAGTAACTTAGAATTCTGAGTAGCGCAATGGTTAAATCAATATTCGAAGTGACTCCAAATTCTAACTTGTGTGATCCCAACTTTAAAACTACAAACCATTATCATTATTATTACAAACATAACATTTCATATTGTTAACATTGAAATTGCATGAATCGGCTGATATTTATGAAATTCTGTTTGAAGTGGCCGGATAGGCTGATTCTGCTGATTTTTGAAAAAATCATATTTAAAATATTTTTGATTATTAAAACTAATAGAATTAAAATAAAATGATATGAGAAATAACTAAAAAGATCTGGTGTTGAAGATAAACCAATGCTTCACAAACAAACCAAATGTGAAACCAAAAAGTGTATAAAGTTTCACCATAATTGTGGTGGAATGTCGAACCAAAACAAATCAAATGTCAAACCAAACCAATAGTTTGTAATATCTATTTATAACCATAGATAAACAAAACAAAAATCTACCATGACACATCAAATATCCAACTTCTCAATATTAATTTTAGCCTTCAACTTCTTTGATGATGTGTTGGCTGGAAGTGAAGTCTACAATCAAATCTCTCTTCAACCTTTCGCCATCATTCGTATTATTCGCATTCGATTTCACAGGAGTTTTCACTTCATCATCCGATAAATCGACCTATATTTTACATGAGTTTCTCAAACGCCTGTTTAAATGAAACATTACATTAAACAACTTGTTTACCTGATCATCATCCTTCTTGTTGGTTAGGCGATACGAGAAGAAATATACGCTATCCGTTGCAGAAGCTAAAGAAAGAATCAAAGCTTTTGTCTGTGACCCAGCAAAGCAATAATATAATGAAATCAAAGTTCAATCAGCTGGTGTGTTATCAAAGTTCAATCAAGCTTAATTACAATATACAACACTGTAAATTTATATATATGTATTTTTTATGAATGAAGATAAACGTCCTTGTCTCAACAGAGTAATACGACACCTATTGAGAAGCACAATAGGAGGAAAGTGGAAACTAAACAACCTTTTCAGAAAAAAAATACAAAGGAAAAAAATAAATTGACTAAACAAAAATGGAAGAAAGAGATGAGCTGTCCATTTGCAGAAGCTTCCCTAATAAACTACCGTGACTCGGCATAAAAGCCTAGGCGGCCGGTGGGTTGTCGTTTCCGGACATGGCAGCTTATATAGGCAAGAGGGGAAACTAAAAAGTAAAAACCTTGCCACATAGAGATAATTAATTTCTCTAGGAAAACTAAAGGGCCAAATTAAAATAATTAAAAAATTCCACTTTTTTGCTTAAGGCGTATTACACCATGCCTCTTCCATCATTAATTTCCCTGGGGAAACTAAACAGTCAAACTAAAGCAATTAAAGATTCCACTTTTTTTATAAATGCTGCAATTGGTTTGCAGCAGCATCGAGTATTCAGTCGCTATTAAAACTAAAGCAATTAAAATGTATGGCTCCTCTCCTTAATATTTAATTCTGGATAGGGAAGTTAAAAATCATGTCAGCATTATTAATCCACACAATTAATAGGAATAATCTAGAAGGCATTAGAACAATAACTCTTGCTGCACTATTCCGTTTTTAATAATATATAGATTCTTACTGTTATACGCACAAAACGTGATCTTACAATGGCTTAAAGAAATCTTCGGATTTCAAAAATCAATCTGCAATAGCTCACTAAATTTAGAAATTAATTAATCAAATAAATGAACAAGCTCATAATTGCCACATGCAAAACAACCTTTTTTAGAAGTTATAGAGTATGAAAATAGGAGCCATCTCTGTTTTAGTAAAAGAAGAATGCTACTGCAGTAGGTGTGAAGTTTTACCCTCAACCATCTTTGTTATAGAAGTTTTACCCTTAATTGCTCAAACCTCACCTGCCCAGCCTACCTTCAGCTTAGTCTGTAGCAGTGAAATTAGTTTGTCATAAAAACGACGTAAAGCCTACTGGCAGGGAAACATTAACTCAAAGTTCGGCTACAAATTATAGGCTTACGATAGGGGTGGATTCAGTTCGGGCACTCGGTCTGTGACCCGGCCCGGTCCGCTATTGTGCAGGCCTGGGATCGGCCCGGTCTGGCGATCCGGGACTGGGTGTAGACCCGAACCGGGGGATGGGCGGGGCGGGCTCGGTTCTGGCAAAAGATGACCCGGCCCGGGTCCGGGTCTAACGGTCACTTTTTTTTTCTTTTGGGCCACAAAGAGCCGTTGGGAGTGGGCTGGGGACTACCCAAATGGCTATATAGCCGTTGGGTGGCCTGGCAGGGGGGTCCGGGTGGGGTGGGGGTGGGGTAAAAAAACTATAAATACTCCTAATCTTAAACATTTTTTTATATCCTAATCCTAAATCCTACACTCTACTCCAATATATTATTATATCTACTTATATTATTTATCTACTTATAAATACATATATTTATATTACTTATATTTCTTATCTACTTATATATTAATTATCTACTTATAAATTTATATATTATATTAAGATGGAGGGTGGTAGATTTTCAGTTGATATGGGTAACCTCGAGCGCAACCGAAGGAATGAGCTTGCGAGGAAGAGATCCCGCAAAGGTAAATCACATATCGGCTCTTCATCTCAAAGTCGAGATGATTTTGATACGGGTTACGCAAGGAGGGATGAGGATGCGATGACCGTTGAACAACTAGAACAAGAATTGCACCAACATAATAGCCGCTTTTTCCAAGACCAACTGAGGATCATTGACGAAGAAGAGCTCGAGGATGACGATGTGGAGGAAGTAATTCCGGAGAGCCACAACGAGGAAGAGGAGGAGGGTGGCGGCAGCCACGACAACGAGGAGGAGGAGGGTGGCGGCAGCCACGACGCCGACGAGCCTGCCTCATCCCAAACCGGTACGAAAAAAAGTAAATCTGAACTAATGTCTAATAATTTTTCTAAGTGGAAGGACCCGAACACCGGGAATTGGACCGCAACTTGCAATTGGTGCAAGAAAAATTATAGCTTGGGGATTTCCGGCGGATACGGATCCGCCACAAGACATCTTAAGTCCAAACACCCGGTGGAGTATGCAAAATTAGGCGGCGGAACGGGGAAGCAAACTCAAATATCGAGGTTTGCAAATAACCAACAAGCTTTTGGTAATTTCTCATACAATGATGCACACAATTTGACTGATATGACTTGCTTACTTGTTGAAGAAAATTTGCCTTATTTGTTTTCTGAAAGACTTGTTTTTCGTGATTATGCACAAACTTGTTTAAATCCTCAATGTAGAGGTTATAGTCGCAAAACGGTTAAGAAAGATATTTCAAGGCTTTATGGTGCGGAAAAAGTAAGGTTACAAAATTATTTTGCAAACTTTGATGGGGGTGTTACTGTATGTTCTGACATATGGGAGGATACTTATCATAATTTACATTATTGGGGTCTGACTGTACATTATATTGATAATGATTGACATATGCATAAATGTGTTCTTGCTTTTCGTGAATTTAATGATCGTCACACCGCTGAACATATTTATATTTTGATTGAGCGTATTTTAATTGAGTATTATTTAATTGATAAGGTGTTTGCTATTGGTTTTGATAATGCTACTACTAATAATACTGTTGCTATTCCTAGATTGTGTGAATTATGTGGTTCTACTTCTTTGATGAGTAGATATTTTCATCAACGATGTGCATGTCATGGTATAAATTTATGTGTGCAAGATGCTCTAAAAGCGTTGAGAGCATCTTTGGAGGCAGTCAAGGGGGGGATTAGACGTATTTGGGGTAATGGGCAACTTAGAAAAAAATGACATGATTATTATTTGATAGAAAGAGGTGAGAAATATGTGGCTTTTCCTAAAGATTTGTCTATTCGTTGGAATAGTACTTATAAGTTAATTGTAGTTCTTCTTAGATATTAACAACATTTTTCTGCTTTTATGAAAGAATATGATAACTATATTATAAACTCGGCTGAGATCGACACCTGTGAAAAAGTTTGTAATGCTGTGATATATTTTAATAATGCAACTGAAATTTGAGATGCTTATATGCTACCACGATTGGTTGAAGGCGGCCCGTAGAGCTCAAGAAATTGACATCACCCCATCCCAACATTTTATGGATGAATCTACAACCGAGGGCACTGGCGGAACTAGGGGGGGTGAGCCGGTGCCGGCGCTCCCCCTTCTCCGGCGGTGGTTCTGTGTATATATATATGTATACATCTCAGCCCCGGTTCAGAAAGTATTCATATATTAAAGTGGATTCGCTATTTGAACGTATGAGTTGTGATAGTTCAAATGGTAGGGTGGAGGTTGGGAGAACTCTGTTTACCTAAATGGCCCAGGTTCAATTCTCAAGAGCAACAATTGTTTTTTGCTTTCTCCATTATTGCTTCTTTAGACTTTAGCCCATTTGGTAATTATTTATGTTCAATTAAATCACTCTAGGATGCAATGTTGTTTAAATCACACTTTTTGAATTTCTATATCTTTTATTTTAAATTCTCATTTCTTCAATTCAAATTAATTTTAATCACGTCTTCTTCTAATAATGACACATACGGACGTTGTCATTTAATGTCAAGAATAATTCTAAAACTACTTTAAGTTAATATAAGTATTTACCTTTTGTTTAGTATAATAGCATTTTTATTTGAAACACACTACATATACATATATATATATATAAGTTTTGGATCAAATAAAAAGAGTTCTTATCATGAAAATTGATCGAGAATAAATCTTGTGTATTTAACATGAGATCCGATGAGTCAAAATCAGTCAACAATGCACTATATTTTATCAAAAACTCGGTGACAATTTGATAAATAAATCAAAATTTTCTCTCATTGTGAAAAAGTGTAAAATAAATATTTACTAGTGTACCAAAACGAGTAAAAAATGCGTCCGTTCTCATTTTTCACGGGAATAACTCTTTTTATTAGAACCTCACTCTATATGTAGTAATAATTATTTTTCACTCGTTTTTATTTTATCCTAATAAAAAATTGTTTTTCAAAAAAAAAAATATAAGAGCACCCCCTCAAATTATTGTCTGGTTCCGCCGCTGACCGAGGGTGACTCTACCTATGTTGGAGATTCCGATTGATTAGTATTTCAATATTTCATGTTTTAATTTTACCTTTAATTCTCAATTGTAACGTGTAAACTTGTAGTTCATATTTCAAATAAGTATACGTTCATTTTTTTATATGTAGCACTTCTCAAATTAATTAATTTTACATTATGTAATTTATTTAAAAATTCAAAGTAAAAATTAAAATAAACAAATAAAATTTGAAATCAAAGGCTCCTCAAGACCCCAATTCCCCCAAACGGCTATATAGCCGTTGGGTGCTTGAATCAAGGGTGGGACTCCTGGGGGTGGGGGTGGGGCTACAAAAAATTCTATAAATACTCTTATTTTCTAACATTTTTATACACACACTACTAGAAATACAGCTTACAATGACACTTAGTTGGTGACACTATAATGACACAAACACATTTATGACACTTGTATATCAGTAATTATTCATACAATTATATCAAGATATAACAGTGACACTCCAGCAGCCCAATTTATTATTTAGATTTAGGTTTTAAGTAGGAAAAAATGCTCTCCAGAGCGAGACGCTCCGTAATTTCTCTAGCTTTCTGCGATCTCCTTTGGACCGCCTGAAGCCAATGCGGCAGAAATGCCGCCAGCGGATGGAATCGGGCCGGAGAGGACGCAGGCCAAGATGTCTTTTGCTGTGGTGGTAAGGGATCCCATCCCGGGCCATGGATTGCACTCGCAAACTTGTTCCTTTTCCGACGCGGCTGAGCTTGGCTCGTATGGTAGCTTCAGAGGATTCCCGTCTGTCTCCTTCTCCAACGACGACTTACAGGTTCTCTCCCATCCTTTCTGATTCGCTCTCGTTGGTACTTTCTCGTTCGGTCGTCCCCCCATCCCTACGATTCGTAATGCTTTTGAAAAGCTAGGGTTCTATAACTGGGTTGACCTTGGATGAGATTGCCGCTCAAACATGCGGCGATGGGAGAAAACGACGTTGGGCCTGGCGAGCTGGACTTCCGGAAGTAAACCCTAACGGGCTGAACGCATGGACAGGGAAATTGATGGTGACGCGGGCACAACTCCTGGATGGGCCTTTTGATGCGACTTGGGCCATGCTTCTTTCTGCTGCTGGACTGCTTACACGCAGGAATGCTTTTTTGATGCAGGGAAGGGTCTTCTATTTGTTCATGGACTGCTGGAGTATATTGGACTGGACTTTTTGTGATTTGAGTCGGGACCTGTCCCGTGCCTTTTTGACTTTTTTAAAAAATCCTCTCTCTCCCGCCACGTGAGGGGCGAATACGGTAGATACTATTTTTGGTTAGCTTGCTACCTAGATAGTTTTCTCTTTGATTTTTTGATGCATTGTAATGCTATTTTCTGGATATATATATATTTACATTTCACTCTAACATTATTCTCATTAATTTCAAGTGCGATCTTGAAGGAACCTCTTAATCATGTTGGTTTCTGTGATTTTGTTTTTCCTCATGTTAGTGAGAATGGAGAAAAAAGCGTGGTTGTCTTTGAAGAAGCCCAATCGGCTACCTGTATTGAACCCCCCATTCGTTGCCTCCGAGAAATCTCTTGTTCAGGCTTGTGAACATGCCTCTTATCAGTCCACTGTCTTGAAAGTTGCTGGTATTGAACCACCACCTACTGTTGCCCTGGAAATTGCCTTGACAGATTTTGAAAGTCTCCTTTCTGTTGCTTTTGATGCCACAGTGGTATGTGAAGCCCCCGTTGATGTTTCAATTGATGCCCCGTGTGTTACTAGTGATGTATCAGATGTTTATAACACCTATATCCCTGCCTCAATTACTTATCTGGAAGTCTTAACCCCCCCCCCCCCCATGTTGCCTTTACAGATGCTCCTACGAATATACTGATAACTGAGGTTACAACCGCTATTGATGAACCCCCAATGGCTACCTGTAACAAGGCAGTAATCGCAGGCGTTGTTCATCCCCTTTTGTCGGTGCCCGCTAATTCTATCTGAGGACAACCATATTGCTACTCTTTCTTTTGCAGGTCCTATTCCTCGTGATGGAGATGAACATCTGGAGGGTTTTACAGAGGTAAAAATCGTACTACGGACTTTGCAGCAGTGATGCTTTTATCTCATAATTCTTGGTTGTACTCTACTCCAATAATATTGTTAAATATGAGTTGATTAGTCACCTTTATTAAATTTGGACTTTTGACCAACTTAACAGTGTTCTAATTTTATGAAATATTTAATCTGTTGATAGTTGGTCACATAGAAACAGTTAAGACTTTAGATTTAAGAATGCATAGTGGTGTCCATAGATTATTTATATAACATAAAATCTCACCCATTTGGGTCTTTCTGCCATTGTCAACAACCTCCTTAAAGATAGTACTCATCAAATTCAACACTTCTAGCTGAATTTTAATCATATATGTATAGATTTTTTCAACCTCTATTTCTACATTCACTGGAATGATCGTAAAATTTGGTTTGGTTGCTCTTATCATGCATTATGGCTGCCAAAGTTTATATTTTTGTAACAACTGGTGTACAAGTTTACTACGCTTTCCATAGTTCTCTTCTGTGCATATATGATACTCTTCAAGGGGAAAACTACATTTCCATTGGCTACAAATAAAACTATTTTGTACTGTATAGGCTATTTACTCTTTGTACCTGAGCGTGTTTGCCAATTTGTCATCAGGGAATGATGATTGGAAATCTGAGCCTTTTGATTTCCTCATCGGTGGAGAATTCATCAGGATGTCACTCGAGGAGTTCCTCCTTGCAAAGAACATTTCTACAGTGGGTTTATCATCATACGATAGTATATGGTTTCACCTCCAAATTTTGAAAACTTAAGAAATTTCTCAAAATAAGAGTAAAAATGGATAAAGTTCAAAAATAGGACTAAAAAGTTTTTCTTTCCAAAATAGGACTAGTTTAGCTCTATTAAAGAATAAAGCATAAAAACTTTCCAAATTAGCAGTGAATGAGTCCTATGATGGGAAGAATACAATGACACTCCTATTTGAAAACCCCTGTTATGTTTTACTCATATTCACATAATTTTCTGTTTCAACTTTGATATATTCAAATTTCAATCCATTAATTTTTTATATATGTGTGTGCAAGCTCATATCAATTTAAGTTTTATAACTTCATTACAAACAACATGCTTCCAATTGACATTTGACAATTCTATATTTGAACATCTTTTATTTTCAAAAGGTTCTCACATCTATTTATAGATCCTCTGTTGGGCTAATTATTAGTGGGTTTTTAATTGCAGGAGAAAATATTAGATATTGAATACATTAAGGCGGTGGTCCCAAGGAGAGAAGAAGAACCTTCTGTACACGATGATTGGGTCAGTGCTGTTGATGGTTCAAACCCCAAGTAAGACAGATCTACCCTTGTATTATTTTTTTGACAACTTGAAATGGACTCTGCATGCTTGTAAACATTAATTGTCTTGTCTTGTACATTTCTATTCTATAGTTTGTTTTTTACTCTGAAGAAATCTGGCATGGGTTGTTATTTTTTAGATCTATAATATCATGCAGAATTGTAAAGTTATTTTTCAAGCGTCTGTCTGATATAACGCTCACTTATTCAGTATTTCTATGTTCTTGTATGTCATTTTACAGGTTCATTTTAACAGGTTGTTATGATGGTCTTGGAAGGTAATTTTGTAGGGACTTTGTATGACTAAGTTTTTCTATACATGTATTCATATTTTCCTATTGTACTAGTAGCACTATAGGAATTTAGTTCTTAAACAAGATGAATGTGGTTGTTAATAACCATTTCCAGGTTATGGAAAGCTGCAAGATATTGTAGTCACATATTGGAGGGGCACGCAACTGCAGTTACAGCTGTTTGTGTTGTTAAGCCCAAAGGTATGGCCATATGGCTTGTAGAGATGATTGCTATTGATTTCATGATTTTTTTATCGCACATGTCATGATTTGTTCGGACAATTAAAGAAGTATGAATGAAACAATTATGTGAGAATAGGAAATGAGCTGATTAATAGTGTAGACCTGAAGAATCTGATCCATGTGGGTGGAAAGGAGTACAATGTGACCCAAAAGAATTGGAAGTTATACACAAGAGGTACATTGTCTCTAGAAGAATTGATACCCAAATGGATCCTTGAGGTCATTGTCTTGGCAGATTTTGTATATTTTATGCCACAATCTTCATAAACTATCTATATATTATAGCAGTATATAGGTCCAGTCGCACCCAAACAAGAGGGCAAGCTTCAAGAAAAAGCCTTATTCTTAGGAATAAGTATAACAAGGGATTCAGTGCAGCTGCTAAGGTTTCCTAAGTGGAGTTGGTAGTATAAGAATGATAGCTTCATTTTGCGTAGAAGAAAATGTGATGTCTACGTATAAGAAGAATTTGAACGCCTTGTGAAGCATGGTGTAAAAGTTGGAGTAGTTAGCGTTTTGTTCTTGTGTGTTATTTATTGTCATAGGGATGCCCCTATGAATTATGTACTATGTACATTCACATTTATGTGAGAATTTGAGATATAAATAAAAAACTTTGATATTATGGTTATTTATTGGTATTAAATTATATTATATATATATATATATATATATATATATATATATATATATTGTAATCAATATATCATGTTTTTTTTCAACACTAGCGTGTCATTGAATTTTGTGATACTGTAGTGTCATTTAGTTTTGTGATACCACAGTATCATAGAGTTTTGTGATACCATAGTGTCATAATTTAGTGATACTACAGTGTCACAATTTAGTGACACTTTTAGTGACACTTTTTAGTGTCACTAGCCCCCACCTTCAGCGACACTTTTTTAGTGTCACAGAAGCCTGTTAGTGACACTAATTTAGTGTCACTGCAAGACATTTTTCTAGTAGTGACATCTTCTCCATCTTCATCTCCATCTATTGTAGTATTTGTAGAATTATTATATTTACCATTTTTAAGATGGAAAGTGAATATGCCGTTATACGGTATAATTTTGATAAACAGGACCCGTGGACCGGGATGTGGTACGCAACTTGCAAATGGTGTGGGAAAAAGTGTAGCATGGGGGTTTCACGCGGATACGGGATGACAATGAAGCATATTAAGTCATCTCACAAAGCCAAAGGACCGGGAGGTGCGAGAAGTTCCGATTGATTACAAATTTACAATTTACAAAATGTATTTCATATTGCATTTTTTTTCTTAATTGTCAAATGTAGTTCCTATTTCATTTCAAATAAATGCACTTGAAGTTTGTTTTTAATACTTGTATAAAACTATAAAGTATAAATAAAAAAATGGATTTAACCGGCCCGGCCCGGCGGGTGGCCCGACCCGTGACCCAGGCAGGTGGCCCGGCCCGAACCAGAACCGTTCAGACCTCGGGCCGGTCCCGGGCCCATCACTTACAAACTGGCGGCCCGGCCCGGGCCCGACCCGGCCCGAATCCATGCCTAGCTTACAACAGCCCAAAATTCAAAAACAACTCCCATTGAAAAACGTTATTATGGGGGCAAACGGTGGTGCGGCTAGTAGACTTGTAAACGAATCAAATAATTTGTGCTCGATTCGCGATTCGAGTTCGTATAAGACGATTCGAATTCGGAAAATTCAAATACAAATAAGAATATTAAATTTGATTCGAGTTGTTATCAAATACAAATAATAATACTAGTGTATTTGATTCGAATATTAATCAAATATATTCGATTAATAATAATGGTAATATTAATGTCAATAATGATAATAATATTATAATAATAGTATTAGTAATAACACAATAATAACTTTTAAAGGATAACAATACCCTCAAATTAAAGTGTAGCCCATATATATACACTTTTGCATACATATTGCAAACCCATTTGTAATAAATCAAAATATAAATACGAATACAAATCAATTTTTCGGTTCAAATGTCTTTCAAATACAATACAAATAATTATGTATTCCATTTGAATAATAAAATTAGAGTTGTTTGACTTTGATATATACAATTATCAACTTATAAAAATGCATTAATCCATTAAATTTAAATTCTAAAAATGCATATTAAAATAAGTATCACTTTTATAAATTTACTTGCAGTATTATATTGTTTATGTGCAATTACAGTATTTATAAATTTGGAGTGTGTTTTGAACTCAATTGAAATTGCTCCAAATGCAATGAGTTTGCCTACACTCATGAATATTTACTTTAAAAATTATTATGCAAGTTCAGTAAATGCCTGTCTAAACACTGCACACCCTTTGAATTCTTCTTCATTGTCACGATAAGGAGTCCATCAAATCCACCTATGGTTGAAATTAATCACTGAAATACTCACCAACTTTCGAATTCTTCACCACTCTTTTACTACTTGCAAAATACTTCTATACATAAGCACAAGTTGCGTTAGTCTATAGATACAACATCACATTCACACTGAATAATTTCTTTCTACACGTATGAGTGTAGGTAAGTGGGATCATTAGAACAATGGAAGATGCAGTCTCATTGCTTGTCTCCTCTCCGTCTACGGGGATCTCGAAGAGAAGGACTCTGGATGAGTCTAATCAGGATGATATTATTGTGAATGTACAAAATCTGTTTATCTCAAATTCAATGAAAATGGATGGCAAAAACTAAGACAGTGGAGGTGGCTCTAATGGTGTTTCTGGTTCGCCTTTTGTTAGTAGGCATAATTATTTAATTTGATGTCATTTTGTAGGGAAGAAGTTGCCGTGTACAGAAATATCCGCTTCCAGATCTCATGGAAGAAAAGATAGCAATGACCAAATCATTTCACTACTGCTGATCATATCCTTCTACTCCATTGTAGCCAGGAGAGTCATATGAGTTTGACAGTCTCAATGCTGTGAAGAGTGCACCCATTCTTAGCATAACATATTTCATCACCTTTTTGGAAAAAAAATTGGAGGCAGATAGTAGTCCTTCAGGAATGTTTAAAGCCCGAGTAAACTTGCTTTGGAGCAGTGTCAAAGTGCAGAAATGTGAGCTGAGAAATTAGCTTGGGTATTGCTCTCGATTCTGTTAATTATATTCTGTTTGTGGAGTATTTATTCATGTTTTAATGGTTGCTAATATCAATTAGCTTGGGTATTGCTTTGGGCCTTTGGCTTCTATTAATGAATGAATGTCATGTTGGGGTATATCACGTAGGGGGTGATAATCGAGTACTTGGATTGCTTAATGATCGTATAAGTTCACTTTCCGAATTGATATTTCTCCCCTATGCCTGGGTAACAAGAAATTCGATATAGGATAATCCTTAAAGACACTCTAGAACTTAGACACAAGAACTAGAGCCAAACTAGTCGAGTATATGGATTGTTATCTTTAATTTGAATGTCAAAAGTGATCAAGATATGTTGTATATCTCTCCTATCTCTTCTCTGTACGAAATACGGTGATATATATCCATATTACACGTCCCAGGCAGTTGCAACACGTTTTGGAATAACTGTGACTGTTTTTGAAAAAACTGCACGAAACTGCCCAACCGCTCTAGACCTTGGTCTAGAACCACAGAGTTGGTCTAATGAGTGTTCTACCTCGAGTTCCACTGCCGTAGACACTTTGGAATAGAACTTGTTCTTATATACAAGTGTGCACTCCACACCTCCTATTTAGAACATAGCAGGTCGTGAGCACGGCCTCTCCCCAAAACCCTTCACTCAAACCCGAGTAGGAAAGCATGGAATTAACCATTTCCTTTAACACTCGATTTTTCCGTTCAGCCACACCATTTTGTTGTGGTGTATACGGAGCCGTGGTCTCATGAATCATTCCAACAGATTGAAAATAATGGGGATCCATATATTCTCCTCCCTGATCAGTCCTAAGACATTTAATTGGATTACCCAATTGCAATTCAACCTCGGTTTTATACACTTTAAATTTCTCTAAAGCTTCGTCCTTAGTGTGCAATAAATACACATAACAAAACCGAGTTGAATCATCAATAAAAGTAACAACATACTTTTTATTACCAAGGGAAGGAGTTGAGTGAAAATCACATAGATCACTATGTACAAGATCCAAAATAGCCGAATTCCTTTCAACATTAGGAAACGGTTGTTTTGTGATCTTAGTAAGCATGCAAGTCCTACACTTATCATCATTAATATCAAAAGCCGAAATTAAACCATCTTTAGATATTTCATGCATTTTTATAAAATTAACGTGAGCTAATCTAGCATGCCAAATCATACAATCATTCATGGAAGATGCCACAAAAACAGAATTATCACTAGAAATTAATTTATTCACAGCATTTAAACGAAACATGCGATTTGATAACTATCCAAAACCAACAAACACACCACCCTTGGACAGAATATATTTATCGGATTCAATCACTTGTTTGAACCCTAAATTATTCAACATACTTCCCGAAACAAGATTCTTTCGAACCTTCGGTACATACAAAACATCAAACAACGTAATTGTTTTTCCAGAAGTAAATTCTAAAACAACTACACCCTTTCCCAAGATAGGCACCATTGACTCGTCTCCCATGCGTAAGAAGGAACCGACCTCCACTGGTTCTAGGTCATCAAACCATCCTTTATCCTTACACACATGGCTCGTAGCCCCGGAGTCAATCCAACATGCACAGTCATCATCCTGTACATAAAAGGATTCTGGAATGAGTGATACATAATTCTGGACAGAATTATCAAAGTTAGTCAGGAACTGACCTCCTTTCCGTGGAACCAGGTCCTTACACCGTTCCTGTCCACTGCCACTTGTTCCAACGCCATTCTTGTTCAGTTTCACACGACAATCACGCTTGACATGTCCAACCTTTTGACACCTCCAACAAACCAAACCTTTCGGTTTCTTGTTGGCTTTGTCATGGTCTTCATACTTGCGC